TTTTTTTTTTCTTTGCGCGATCGTCTTCCTCTTTTTTCGAATTCGAGACGGCAATTCCACCGAATCGAGACCGTTTCGAGGCAAAATCGAATCCGCGTCGCTTTACGTTCCTGAATACTTTTTACGACGTCGAAGATACGTTATCTATCGATGTACGCGTCGATCTCGCGTTTTTATTTGTCCCTCGAAATGGTTTACCTCTCCGATCTATCCTTTCTAGCTCTCGCGAGCGCGAAAGATCAAACACGATACGGGCTTTCTGTCGCCATCTTGTGGATTTATAACCGTATCAGAGTATTGATTTCTTACTTGTGAGCAAAAATTACAGGTACCGTCGCCCGTTCTTTTCTAGCAGCAAGAGTTTCAATTTATTATAAGACACAATCAAGTTGCAGCGCCGTGACGACTAACGCGCACGAATCTGTTATTCTGCCAATACGCCGGATTATTCAATTATCTGAATCTGATTAAGCGGACGCGAACTTTAAGTTTTGCAACGTTCAGCTCTTCGATGAGATAATCCATAGGAATGCAGTGATTGAGTATAATTTTTTTTTTTTTTTATCGTGGTACAAAAGGATGCTTCAAAGAAGTCAGGGCACTTTTATATAATGTATTTACAAATCTTGTAAAATTATAAGATCAAGCTGACACTGAGATAAGCAGAAAATTCAACGTTCGTTTCAAAAACTGCGTGTTTCTGTGATATTTAGATAATACAATCGCGTAATCAGTTGATAAGATAGGAGAACTGAAACTGGTGTAAAAATAGCTTTATGATTTTTAAATACATACAAAGCACGTACATCATCTTCGAAGAGATGATGTACGTACAGTGCACTTTTCAATTATTGGCACTGATTGTATATATAATATATGTACATACATATATTATATCATGAATAATATATATGTACATATATATTATACTTGTTTAATAAATGTTCGATATCTCTAAAATACAAAACCATCGTCTTTCTTTCAGAGCACATTTTTCAGAAACATCACGCAGAAGATCAAACAGAGTCAAACGTATTCCAGTCAAGCTCCTGCAGTTTCATTTTAGATACAGTATTTGACATAATTCTCAAATAAATTCCACCTCATTCCTGACAATATAAACTCGCGTGACATTTTCCAAAAGTCCTGGAACAACCGACATTGGATTTCACGTCGCCGTGGGTCCTTGTGCATTCCTTCAGAAACATTTCAAATCGACCGGGAACCAAAACAAACGTAAACAGCGCTTCGTTCGTCTCATTCGAATTCCACCGCGAGGGGAATGCAATCCGGGACGAGACGAGACAGAGAGGCGAAATTCGCGAGAGATTCCGGACAAAAATGAACGCTCATTCCCGGCTTCAATCTCAAGAAAGCATGCACGTCCCGGATGTTGCCCGAGAGTTGTCAGGCAAAGTCCGTGAAGACTCGCGTCGCGTAATAAGATCTGGCAGAACGAACCGAGCACGAAGGAAGTGAGAGGAGCGACTCGACAACGTCGAACCGAATTGACAGAATGGAAGAGAAGATCCGGGGAGGACGAACGAAGTGACGTCATTATGCTCGAGCTCGAGCTCGAACTCGAGCAAACAGCGTGTCTCACAAAGGAAGAGGCACGGACTGCTTCTGTGTGTAT